AGTGATGGTGCCTGCCCACTGCACGCTGGCAGGAAAGGTGGTATGGGTGGGAGAGAGGTTGCAGAAAAGCCAGGACAGGGCAGGGTCAAGCCCCGAGTAGGAGAGGGATTGCATGACAGATGGAAGCAGGGCACATCCCAGCATCCTGTCCTCATGCTCTCCGCATAAAAAAGCATTGCCCCAGGCAGTCTTTTGGTAGCAGAGGCACTGGAAACATTCTAGATGCCCACAGCATGGGTTCACATGGGGCACACAGCAGGGCCATGTAACCTACACTGCAGGAGCGGGCAGTGCGCGCGGTGGTTAGGGGTGTGCTGCTGGATGGGAGGCTGACCGTCCTTGGGCAGGTGAACCTTCCCAATCTCAGTTTCCTCACCTGCCAAAGTGAGATGCTCTCAGTCCCTACCTCACCGAGTTGTGAGCACTAAGGAGACGGTCAATAGGATGTGCTTAGAACAATACCAGGCACAGCGTGCGTGCTGAGGAAGAAGGAGCTGTTACTGTTACATGCCGTACTTTTTAAGTATTTAATAAAATCAGCAAACGTGTATGCTGTAGTATAACGTGAAAATGAGAAATGTATACAATGATACAAACTGCATCATCCTTACTGTGTAAAAACAGATGGACAAAGCAACAACGATACAAACTGCATCATCCTTACTGTGTAAAACAAGCAACAATTATACAAACTGCATCATCCTTACTGTGTAAAAACAGATGGACAAAGCAACAACTATACAAACTGCATCATCCTTACTGTGTAAAAACGGATGGACAAAGCAACAACGATACAAACTGCATCATCCTTACTGTGTAAAAACGGATGGACAAAGCAACAACGATACAAACTGCATCATCCTTACTGTGTAAAAACGGATGGACAAAGCAACAACTATACAAACTGCATCATCCTTACTGTGTAAAAACGGATGGACAAAGCAACAACGATAAAAACTGCATCATCCTTACTGTGTAAAAACGGATGGACAAAGCAACAACGATACAAACTGCATCATCCTTACTGTGTAAAAACGGATGGACAAAGCAACAATGATACAAACTGCATCATCCTTACTGTGTAAAAACAGATGGACAAAGCAACAATGATACAAACTGCATCATCCTTACTGTGTAAAACAAGCAACAATTATACAAACTGCATCATCCTTACTGTGTAAAAACAGATGGACAAAGCAACAACTATACAAACTGCATCATCCTTACTGTGTAAAAACGGATGGACAAAGCAACAACGATACAAACTGCATCATCCTTACTGTGTAAAAACGGATGGACAAAGCAACAATGATACAAACTGCATCATCCTTACTGTGTAAAAACGGATGGACAAAGCAACAACTATACAAACTGCATCATCCTTACTGTGTAAAAACGGATGGACAAAGCAACAACGATACAAACTGCATCATCCTTACTGTGTAAAAACGGATGGACAAAGCAACAACGATACAAACTGCATCATCCTTACTGTGTAAAAACGGATGGACAAAGCAACAACGATACAAACTGCATCATCCTTACTGTGTAAAAACGGATGGACAAAGCAACAACGATACAAACTGCATCATCCTTACTGTGTAAAAACGGATGGACAAAGCAACAACTATACAAACTGCATCATCCTTACTGTGTAAAAACAGATGGACAAAGCAACAACGATACAAACTGCATCATCCTTACTGTGTAAAAAAAGCAACAATTATACAAACTGCATCATCCTTACTGTGTAAAAACGGATGGACAAAGCAACAACTATACAAACTGCATCATCCTTACTGTGTAAAAACGGATAGACAAAGCAACAACTATACAAACTGCATCATCCTTACTGTGTAAAAACGGATGGACAAAGCAACAACGATACAAACTGCATCATCCTTACTGTGTAAAAACGGATGGACAAAGCAACAACGATACAAACTGCATCATCCTTACTGTGTAAAAACAAATGGACAAAGCAACAACGATACAAACTGCATCATCCTTACTGTGTAAAAAAAGCAACAATTATACAAACTGCATCATCCTTACTGTGTAAAAACAGATGGACAAAGCAACAATGATACAAACTGCATCATCCTTACTGTGTAAAAACGGATGGATAAAGCAAAAGGCTAAAAGGTATGTTGGAACCTGAGGGCAGGTGTGAAGGCTGCAGGAGCCATCCCTATGGCTCCAGGATTGGGATACAGTAGGAACTCAATAACGGGCTGAATGACTGATCCTCTGCCATCAAGTGGTGGGATGGACTTCCCTTTTCATTTTTATTTTCCCAGGGCTTTTTCTTTTTCAGCTTTGGATCTGAAATCAGATAGCCTTTCTGTAAAGGGCCATATTTTAGACTTTGCCATCTAAGGTCTCTGTCACATATTCTTACATTTGTTTGATTTTTAAAATGCTTTAAAAATGCAAAAAACATTCCCAACTTGTGGGCCACACAAAAACAAGCTGGGCAAGATTGGGCTCATGGATCCTTGTCTGCTGACTGCTGCCTTAAACTACTGTCCAGGCTTCCTGTTGAGTACAATTATTTTTAAAGGTTAAAAAGAAAAAAACATTGGCCAGGTGTGGTGGCTCATGCCTATAATCCCAACACTTTGGGAGGCCGAGGTGGGCAGATCACCTGAGGTCAGGAGTTCGAGACCACTGTGGCCAACATGGTGAAACCTGGTCTCTACTAAAAATACAAAAATTAGCCAGGCTTGGTAGGCAGTGCCTGTAATCCCAGCTACTCAGGAGGCTGAGGCACGAGATTCACTTGAGCCCAGGAAGTGGAGGTTACAGTGAGCCAAGATTGCGCCACGGCACTCCAGCCTGGGTGACAGAGTGAGACTCTGTCTCAAACAACAACAACAAAAAATTGTAACCGATTTAGGAAGGAATCAAAAGAGAGATAATGAGATCATTTAGGGGCTGAATCACTGAACAGTGCATTCACTGCATTCTTCCTAAGGGCCCGGCTCACGGATGGGTGATGTTGACCAACACAGTCATAGAGAAGGCATCAGAGGGCAGGGTTGGTGAGGGAGGTTGCAGTGGGCTGAATGGTGACACCCCCACCCCCAGCCTCCCAAAAAGGTACGTCTAGATCCTAACCCCAGGACCTTATTTTGAATAAGGGTCTTTGCACATGATATTAATTTAAGATCTTATGAGATCATCCTGGATTATTTAGGTGGGACCTAAATTCAGTGAAAAACGACCTTACAAGAGACAGGAGATCAGAGGGTTACCATGGAAAAGGCCACAGGAAGGCAGAGCTGAGATTCCAATGATGCAGCTTCAACCCAAGGGACGCCTGGAGCCACCAGAAGCTGAGTCAAACATGGAAGGATCCTGCTGACAAAGAGACTTTGGACTTCTGGCCTCCAGAAATATTACATAACAGAACACATTTCTGTTGTTTTAAGCCACCAAACTGGTGGTGATTTACTATGACAGTCATAGGAAAGTAGGACAGGAGAGCCGAACAGTACACAAGCCACACCCTAAAATGGCATGGTCCGAAGGCAAGGGAGGCCCCGCGAGCAAGAGAGCAGGTGCAGGCAGGACAGTGAGGACCTCGTCCCATTTCTTTATTGATTAGCCCACATCTGACCACCTGTGAGTCACAAGCTGACAACAAGAGAGCTGCTTACTTACTCCCAGGGGCATCTGTGGATGGCCACAGTCTGTGGAAGGGAAGCTGAGTTCAGAAGCTTGTTCTTAGGTAGTCGGAAGCCCTTCCTAGGGTAGTAAACGTTCAGAACAGGATAGGCAGGCTCAGGTCACATGAACTGAGTAAGCCATCTCTTTCACAGAGGAAGACAGAAATTAGGTTTGATTTGGTACATTCGGGAAAAACTCCAGTTCTTTGAAGGCAGCAACGGACACAACTTTTGGAAAAACAAGAGCGGAGTTCTGAGCCATCTAGGCCAGCCCTGGGAGGGCCAACTGAGAGATGAGACCTCCAGCCAAGCACTGTGTGCTGAGAACCTTCTGCAGCCCATGTGCAGTGGGCAGCTGCTTTTCCTACACTGCTTCTCCCACCCACCCTGAGAGGTGGCCGCCGTTAGACTTGCAGAGGCTAATTAAGGCCTTCAGGAGCAGAGCTGGAATGTACTAGACTGTGAGTCCAGGTTTTTCTGACTCCAGAGCTTGTGCTGGAAAGAACTGTAACCTAACAGGCTATAGTCCAGACGGGGACACATGCACTCTGACATCACAACCTTCTGTGGACCATGCCCTCTATGGACGTGTTCTGCTATGAATGAAGCCTTTCTTTCCCCATGAATTCCACAGCACTGTGAACATATCTCTATGATAACGTGACTCAATAATGTCTCATTTTTTATGTGTATAAATGTTTTTGTAAGACTATGAACTTCTTGAATGGAAGAACCATGTCTCATTGTTCCCTATACCTTCACTGCTAGCCCAGTGCCTGAGAGACAATAAGTAACCAACACATTTTTGCTAAATGAATTCTGGATAGATGGATGGGTGATAATGGGCAGATAGGTGGATGGGTAGATGGATGGATGCATTGGTGAATGGGTAAATGGATGAGTGGATGGGTAGATGGCTGGATGGAGGATGAGTGGATGGTAGAAGGATGGTTGGATGGGTGATGGGTGGCATGGATGGGAGGGTGAATAGATAAATGAGTAGGGGAATGAATGGATGAATAGATGGATGTGTAGATAGATGGGTAGATGAGTGGGTGGATGGATAGATAGGTGCACAGATGAATGGATGAGTGGGTGGATGGAGGAGTGTGTAGATGGGTGGACGGATAGATGATGATAGATGGACGGTGGGAATGGTTGGACGAATGAAGGGAAGGATGGATAGATTAATGGGTGGATGGTTGGATGGGTGATGCATAGATGGATAAAGGAGGCAAATAGACAGATGAGTGGGTCGATGGATAAATGACAAAACCCTGAGAGAAAGGGAAGAGGCGAGTGAACACCTTCCCTTCAGACCTGCCTTACCCTCTCACTAGCACGTTTCAGCAACTCTTCTGCTTCCTCCATTGCCATCATCTCTCTCTGGTACTGGTTTTCCATCTTCTTTCTTGTTTCCAGGTCGCATTCAGCTGTCAATGCCACCATCTTCCGATCGTACTCCTCTTGTATTTCATTATCCAGCAACAGAAACTGCTTTTTGAAAACAGCACTCATTTTTCTCTCTACTTGGGGTGAGAGGTGGCCGTTGTTGGTGAGGTTTTTCAGTAGAAGGGCAATGACGTCCTTGCTGATTTGTGTTCGACAAGCCTCTAGATCTGCATCTGCTCGATTCAGGGTTGCGATCTCCAACCTAAGAAACACAAAAGTCAAAAGAATTCTATTACATGAAATTGCAACCGAAATCAAAGAATTTTCAAGCTCTGAGGTTTTAATTATGTGTAGGCAGGGGCTTTCTTCCTCTTCCTTTTCTTCCTTTCCCCGCTCCCTTCTGCTTTACCCAGATATTGAAGACTATTCACTAAATTAGCTGACTCTTACTTAGCAAATCTGTAAGGTACCACATGAGGTACGAAGAGGAACAGAATCCATTTAAGACATGTCTTTGTCAACAAGTAACAAGTCAACACATCAAGGAAATCGCGGGAACACTGGATGGCTAATATATTTGGAGGACTTAAAAATCAAGTTTATTTTACTTTTCTCTCCATTAAAAACTAATTTATGGACATGAGTACTAAACATAATGTCATATCCTGGATGGATTCCTGGGGCAGAAAAAAGGACATTAGATTAAAAACTACGAACATCTAAATAAAGCATGGACTTGAATAGCAACTGATACGTGACCAAACTGTATCAATATTGGTTTGTTAATTTTAACAAATGTAACATAGTAATAGAAAATGTTAATAATAGGGGAACCTGGGTGCAGGATATATAGGAATTATCTGTATTATTTTCCCAATTTTTCTGTAAATCTAAAACTGCTCTAAAAATAAAGTCTACTTGAAAATATGTCCGAGGTAGTTCACAGAGTCACAGTGTTTTGAAACCTGACCGGTGGTAGTGGCAGAACTGTATATACTTCCAGTAACACATCAGGCTGTACTCTTAAAATGTGTGAATTTTATGATATGTTAATCATACCTCTATAAAGCTAAAAAAAATAAAGCTACATAGGGAAAAAATTAATTTACGTTCATGGTAAAAATACATCTGGAAAACAAAGACGAATAAAAAAAAGAATTCATTCACTGTGAATCCATTATTCAATCAGAACTAATGAAGGCATTTTGTTATTTTATTGTATTTTACCTTAGGTTCTGGGATCCATGTGCTGAACGTGCAGGTTTGTTACATAGGTTTACATGTGCCACGATGGTTTGCTGCACCTGTCAACCCATCATCTAGGTTTTAAGCCCCGCATGCATTAGCTATTTGTCCTAATGCTCTCCCTCTCCTTTCCACCCACTCCCCGACAGGTCCATGTGTGTGATGTTCCCCTCCCTGTGTCCCTGTGTTCTCATTGTTCACTCCCACTTATGACTGGGAGCATGCGGTGTTTGGTTTTCTGTTCTTGTGTCAGTTTGCTGAGGATGAGGTTTCCGGCTCCATCCACGTCCCTGCAAAGGACATGAACCCATCCTTTTTACAGCTGTATGGAATTCCATAGTGTCTATGTACCACATTTTCTTCATCCAGTCTATTGTTGACAGGCATTTGGGTTGGTTCCAAGTCTTTGCTATTGTACATAGTGCTGCGTGCCTTTATGGTAGAAGGTCATCATTCAGTCAGAACTAATGAAAGCATTTTGTTACGTTTCTTCCAGCCTTTTTTTCTATGCATATTCTTTTCATAAATGTCTGCTATTTACATAGATGTATGCAAGTACAATTTTATCCACGTTTTTTCCCAATTAACATTGTTATAGATATCTTCCAGTGGTATTTAAAAACTAAATGCTTCTTTATAAGGGTTGCAAAATATTTTCTCATGTGCTACACCACCACTCTTCAATTGTCGCACATTTGGATTATTTGCAAATTTCAAAATCTAAAAGCAATCACTTTGTACAAAGCTCTTGGTATTCACAATCATTTCCTCAGTACAGATTCCCATGAGAGGAGTCCCTGGGTCAGATGTCAGTGACATCCGTAAGTCTCCTGGCACATCTAGACAAACTGCTTTCCAGAAGAGACCCCCCAGCCATACATCAGGCTCCCCACACACAGCCCCACCATCCACCATGTCAAACACCTTTGATAATCTGATTATGGTGTATGATTGTAAAAATGCAAGGGTTTTAAGAAAACTATTATAAAATTTGCAAGGGCTTCTAAGTACATGACTTCCATATTAACTATGTTCAAAAGTCGTCAATATTGACAAATCTTGTTTTCTCTACTGCTTAATGTTTGAGCGATTTAAAGCAAATATCAGATCTGTCATTTTACCTCACCAGGCATCTTTAACTCTCAAGGAGACATAAGTGGACCGTCTGATCAAAAGACAGCTGTGTGCACGTCTACCTATCAAGTAACTTGTCTACATGAATACATACATGCATATCTACTTTACCTAACCTTGTTGCTAAAGGGTAGTAAAATATACTACCTCTAAAATGTGCTTCTGGATACTGACTATTTTCAGTTAAAGACACCTCAAAAAACAAACAAACTAGTAAGTATCAGATCACTCTGACCTTCATTCTGTTTCTTTTTTTAAAATATATATACTTTAAGTTCTGGGGTACATGTGCAGATCTTGCAAGATTGTTACATAGGTATACACATGCCATGGTGGTTTGCTGCCTCCATCTCCTGTCATCAACATTACGTGTTTCTTCTACTGTTATCCCTCCCCAATCTCCTCACCCCCCGGCTGTCCCTCCCCTAGTCCCCAACCCAATAACAGGCCCCAGTGTGTGATGCTCCCCTCCCTGTGTCCATGTGTTCTCATTGTTCAACACCCACTTATGAGTGAGAACATGCGGTGTTTGGTTTTCTGTTCTTGTGTCAATTTGCTGAGATGATGGTTTCCAGCTTCATCCATGTCCCTGCAAAGGACATGAACTCATCCATTTTTATGGCTGCATAGTGAACAAGCAACCAACAGAATGGAACAAATTTTTGCAATCTACCCGTCTGACAAAGGGCTAACATCTAGAATCTACAAAGAACTAAAGCAGATTTACAAGAAGAAAACAACCCCATCAAAATGGGTGAAGGACATGAACAGACACCTTTCAAAAGAAGACATTTATGCAGCCAACAAACATGTGAAAAAAAGCTCATCATCACTGGTCATTAGAGAAATGCAAATCAAAACCACATTGAGATACCACTTCATGCCAGTTAGAATGGCGATCATTAAAAAATCTGGAGACAGCATGGGGAGAAATGCCAGATGTGGGTGAAGGGGAGGAAAACAGCAGATCACACTGCCATGTGTGTACTTATGTAATTATCTTGCATGTCCTGCACATGTACCCCAAAACTTAAAATGCAATAAAAAGAAAAAAAAATCTGGAGACAACAGATGCTGGAGAGGATGTGGAGAAATAGGAACACTTTTACACTGTTGGTGGGAGTGTAAATTAGTTCAACCATTGTGGAAGACAGTGTGGCGATTCCTCAGATCTAGAAATAGAAATACCATTTGACCCAGCAATCCCATTACTGGGTATATATCCAGAGGATTATAAACCGTTCTACTATAAAGACACATGCACACGAATGTTCATTGCAGCACTGTTTACAATAGCAAAGACCTGGAACCAACCCAAATGCCCATCAATGACACACTGGAAAAATAAAATGTGGCACATATACACCATGGAATACTATGCATCCTGTTTCTTAAAAGCAGAGGGGTGAAATTCCAATGTGAAGGAGGCCATCCCTATAGCAGAAGGAAAGCAACATTCTTACCATCAAGCATGAAAAATTGAGACCAAGATAAAATAGACCTTGTTTAAATAAGTCTTATCCTTCTTTAGCCTCACCACATAATTTAGTTGCTTTTTCACAACTTGCTATTCTTTGTCCAACTCAGCGTATTACTATTCACCTCTAACTGCTTCTTCGGGTCTTCACTTCCTTACGTGGGCTCCAGTGTCAAGTCAAACTTATATTAAATTTGCATGTTGTTTTCCTGTTAATCTATCTCAAGTCAATTTAATTATCGGGCCCAGATGGGACCCCTAAGAGGGCAGAGGTAGAGTTTGACTCCCCACACTACCATTATTATATTAAAAATATTTGAAACAGCCTGGGTGCAGTGCTCATACCTGTAATCCCAGCACTTTGGGAGACCAAGGTGGGTGGATCACTTGAAGCCAGGAGTTTGAGACCCACCTGGCCAAAGTGGTGAAACCCCATCTCCACTAAAAATACAAAAGTTAGCCAGGTGTGGTAGCGGGCACCTATAATCCCAGCTACTCGGGTGGCTGAAGCACGAGAATCACTTGAACCCAGGAGGCGGAAGTTGCAGTGAGCCAAGATTATGTCACTGCACTCCAGCCTGGGCAACAGGACAAGACTGTCTCAAAATAACTAGGAATATAACTAACAAAGGACATGAAGGACCTCTTCAAGGAGAACTACAAACCACTGCTCAAGGAAATAAGGGAAGACAGAAATAGATGCAAAAACATTCCATGCTCACAGTTAGGAAGAATCGATATTGTGAAAATGGCTCTACTACCCAAAGTAGTTTATAGATTCAATGGCTTCCCCATCAAGCTATCATTGACCTTCTTCACATAACTGAACAAAACCACCTTAAACTTCATATGGAATCAAAAAGAGCCCACTTAGCCAACACAATCCTAAGCAAAAAGAACAAAGCTGGAAGTATCATGCTATCTGACTTCAAACTATACTACAAGGCTACAGTAATCAAAACAGCATGATACTGGTACCAAAACAGAGATACAGACCAATGGACCAGAACAGAGGCCTCAGAAGTAATGCCATACATCTACAACGATCTGATCTTTGACAAACTGGTCAAAAACAAGCAATGAGGAAAGGATTCCCTGTTTAATAAACAGTGTTGGGAAAACTGGTGAGCCATGTGCAGAAAGCTGAAACTGGATCCCTTCCTTACACCTTATACAAAAATTAACTCCTGATGGATTAAAGATTTAAACATAAGACCTAACACCATAAAAAACCTAGAAGAAAACCTAGGCAATACCATTCAGGACATAGGCATAGGCAAGGATTTCATGAATAAAACACCAAAAGCAATGACAACAAAAGCCAAAATAGACAAGTGGGATCTAATTAAACTTAAGAGCTTCTGCACAGCAAAAGAAACAATCATTAGAGTGAACTGACAACCAAC